GTGTTTTTCTTTTTGCAGCATTTTTCTTTTTGCAGCATTTTTCTTTTTGCAGCATTTTTCTTTTTGCAAGTGTTTTTCTTTTTGCAGCATTTTTCTTTTTGCAGCATTTTTCTTTTTGCAGCATTTTTCTTTTTCCAAGTGTTTTCTGAAGTTGCAGTCCGTTTGGCCTCTCAGGGCCACCGTACCTTCCTTACCTGCTACACAGTCATCCTTGAAATTTATGACACATGAGAACAATGTTGAACATCAACACAACTCAATCACTCAACGCTTTCTTCCAGACATCTGTGTACACTAATCTGTTAAAACTCTCAAAGTGTCTGCCAAGCAATTTGATAACGAGGTAAGAAGTTCAGTGCACTTGACTCAGGGTAGCCGGGGACACTGGGACAGTAAAGCTCTTCGCTACTGTAACCTCGCGACATAATTCAAACTACAATTCAGAAACTTATTTAGCAGCTGAACTGGAGCGCTGTTAACTGAACCCACATTTTTAGATTACATAGCTTCCAATAGTGCATCTATTTTAATCAGGTTGCAGGTACTGAAGTGTCCTACCTGAACAGCAGCATCAGAGCACCAGAGAAGGATTTAAAGTTGTTGTGCTGGTTAATGTGCTTCTCCTCGTCCAACTTAATGTTCCCAAACACCTGATTGACACGAACGAGGACAACCTTACTGTCACTCTGAATGATTTATTTCACCATAAAAATACACCTAGGATGCAGGGGAACTTCTCACCTGCATGCCAATGATGGCATAGATGAAGAAGAGCATGGCAATGAGCAGGCAGACGTAGGGCAAAGCCTTAAAGGACTGAACAAAGGTCCACAACAGAATACGGATGGTGTAGCCTTGTCTTAGCAGTTTAATCAGACGGGCTGCTCGGAACAGCTTCAAGAAACTCATGTTGATCGTATCAACAAACTGGCAGAGAGACACAAGACGGGAGAAGTTGAATACTGTGACAGCATATTGAAACAGAGGAACATTTAATAGTGCTTTTTTTTTTTTACCTGCAGGTCTACCACGATCTCAGTGATGCTGCCCAAAACGGTGATGAAGTCAAAAATGTTCCACGTGTCTCGAAAGTAGTTCTGTTGAAACAGGAAAAGCTGTTCTGAGTCGTTTCCAAACACTTGTTGAATTCACTCTAAGGCTTTGCGTGTTTTTGTCTCCTCTCACCAGAAAGCCAAAGGCCAAGATCTTAAGGATGCACTCGACAGAGAAGAGAACAGTGAAAGCCGTGTTCAGGTGCTTCAGCACAGCCTCGTACGCCGGGGGGGCGGAGTAATACTGAAAACACATGTAAATACAAATCTTTATTATGAGGAAGCTAAAGAAGTCTGTTCACTGCGCATCAACCTCCTCTCTGACGGGTGTGAACTGCACTCTGTAGATCTGCAGGTTGATGGAAGATTCCTCCAGACCCATAAATAGTACCTCTGTCTCTGCACCTCTCATCTGTCGCACTATAAAAGGAGTCATTCCTCTGGGGGCGGCGGCCACAGTTAATGAGGTCATGCTAAATAGCAGCGCACGGACATTATAGATCAATATTTAATACAGGCTGAGTCACTGAGCGCCTGTCTGTCTGAACAAGCAGCACAACCCCAGAAGAGGCCGGATCAGAAAATAAATACTGCAAAAACATCAGCAGATCCAAACGCAAACATCACAGCGCGTTCA